CTCTCTCTCTCTCTCTCTCTCTCTCTCTCTCTCTCGCCTTCACTTTCACTCTCTTAAACACTTCTCTTTCAATACAAAATCTCATAAATAATTCATAGAAATATTTCATAAAATACTTCTTCTTTCGGTTCACAATTTCGAGCAATACTTATGAACGAAAAAATTGTTTGAATAAAACTATTTTCGAGAACTAATAAAAGCTGAGAGAGTAGTGAACACACAGTATATAATAAACATTTTGATAGCACTTTATATCAAGTTTGTCGGTCACGACCAGTGCTCACACAAAAGACCAGTTCTTCTTCTTCTCCACAAAACAGAATTCAATTTTCTATTTCTTGTGAAAAGAGTTCTTCTTTTCACACAATTTCCTAAAATTCTATTATTTCTCTATTATTCGCAAAATTTGATATTTCTTTCATAACAATTCAATTTCACACAATAGAGACCACAGATTACATAATACTTAGTCTAACGGTCATTACATTCACTTCACAAAACACTAATATAAAGTCCATAATATGTAATTTGACAACAAATTCATATAAAGCATCAAAATATTTGGGTCTCATTGAAAATATAGTGCAATTTGAAACATAAAATAGTATTTTAGCAACAATTGTATTAACAGAACATCTGTTAATCATTTAATTAACAATTTTATTTAATTCAATAATTGTATTGTCTATTAAAAAAAATTAAATTACAATACATTTACTAAAAATATTATCTAGATAACAAGTTCGTTATTAATTACTAGTACAATATATTATACATTACCATATACTTTACAATTAATTATCGAAGTAAATGTCAAATAGTTTTCAATGAAAACTTTTCATTGTATTTATTCAAACAAATTATGAAATAATATGTAAATACAAACTTTTTCTATGAAAAATTCTAAATACAAATTGGCTAATAAACTTCAATTATAAGCTAACCTTGTTAATGATCAATATTATAAAACTAATTATTAACCATTCACTATAATTTATAAATATTTACAGTTATAAAACCCCTTAAAATATTAATATATTTGAGCAAAAAATGTAAACAAATTACCGCAAATGCAAATAAGATGACAATTTACGCTAATACCAGTTTTTAATTATAACTAGTGTAGAAAATTATGCTAAAACTTTTCAAACTTACCATAATCTGCATATTATGCTCATCACGTTTATTCCCAAAAGCACTCATACAGTGCTTATTATGACCACAATCTTAAAACATAATAAAAGTTCTCTTTATTGTCATTATAATTGAAACACAATTAAACTAATTAACGATTAAATGCTTGCAATCATTGCTTTATCTGATCCTTCTGTTGACTAGACTGGGAGTGTGTTTGAGAGGCGACACCTTTGATAGCATTGGCATAACTCTCTGCCGACAACTTAGCGAAATGGATACAATCGGGAACACTAAAGCCCTGATACGAGGCACCCATTAATGTCATATTCATTGAATACTTTTTAATTAATTCGTCAATTGTTTGAAGCCTTCGTTGATGTCCTAAATAGTACTGAGGAATACAATTCTGTAAACAAATCGTACGACAAATTAATCAATTAGTCACAAAACTGGTCACAAAAACGCCAGTATTTACTCGATTTATAGTAACGATATATCGGAGGGGATCGAAGTTTATTTTGAGATACTTCGCCACCGCTTCTAAGGCAATATCCAATGGCTTTTGCTCGTCAACAGTGTCCACATCACCCAAAACCTCTTCAAACCATTCGCCGCCAATCATTACCTATTAATTAATAATTAAACCAATTATTTCAATACTGAAACCTTTTTAACAGTCGAGGAATAGTAACTCCAACCGTAAGTCTAGTGATATCTTGTCCGGCATTGAATTCTGGTGTAACACAAGAATCATAAATAATGCCCAATATTTTCGAGTCTTCACACGAGGGCACTAAAAAGCCGAACCCGGAGTCGGCGGCCATTAATTTGCCATCAAATTCCAGATTAACGACAGCCATATTTACTGTCTTTATTTCATTTAAGACATTAGATAAGTCGCTGTATTCTTTGGGCAACACTTTGGCCAAACTATTCGCTGGAAGCGATGAGAAGATATACTCGGCTTCTATTTCGACATTACTGTCATCGGGAGTCGAGATACTAATGAGAGCTGACTTTGCGCTTTGATTGAACGCGATTTGCTTGACAGTGGAGTTGTTGTATATTTCTATGGGATTGTCCTCCAGAGTCAACATGTAATCACACAATCGGTTGGGAAGCGCTTGAATGCCTTCTTTGAATGTATAAGTACTCCACTTAT